TTTCCGAGCAAAGTCATGGGAGAAATAAAGAAAACCTGGTGTTCTTCATTTCAGTTTGTAGAGAGGTGCATATGTGAGAATTCGATTTTATCAATTTGAATGGGGAAGACAGATAAGCTGACGTGTCAAATTTTGAATTTTTAAGACAGGCAAAACTACATAGCAGGACTCAATGTGACAGTTCCTTAAATGAAAGCACCAACTAATTTCAAGCCATTTATCACCCGATATGAACAGAAACCTAGACGGACTGAGCAACAAATTACATTATAACGTCTAAACTGACCTGCAATCAAACACCAAATGTCCTCAGATATGAAGCCCAGCAAAAAGCAACTCCAACTCCTCGTCTTGTGATGTGTCTCTCTATCAACCAAGAATAAATATAACATTAGTAATTTGGAGTCGAAAAATAAAAACATCAGATCTTTGTATACCCCATCGTACATGAGACATAAACCATACCAATAATGAAAGCTTCCTATGAAGGACGAAATATATTGCACATTTTACCACGGTTCTTCATAGAAAAGAAAAATTCCAACAACATTTCAGGACGTGCCGTAACAGGAAACAGTTCAAGGCTGAACAACAGCGTGAATCAATGTAATATGAGTAATGATATTGGTAGATCATGGTTTACAGATTGATGTACAGAATGATTGACATGGAAGAGGAGGGGGAGAGAGAGAGAAGGGAAAAACAAAGTCGTTAGTCAGATTCACAACAATCATATTCACAATCATTCACCGATAAACAACATATGGAAGAATCGAATGACAGAATTAGAATGGCAATCAAGAAATTCTATCATTATTAATGTTGCAAAATGACATCAAACAATTAGTAAATCTAGTTGCGAAGCCACAAATTTCAAGATGATGAGGCAAAAAAAAAATTTAATGGGCAAAATATACAAGTATTACTTAAATATAAAAAATTCAAAATTTCTACATAGATCTAAATAACAAACCATTATATTTCCGAGCAAAGTCATGGGAGAAATAAAGAAAACTTGGTGTTTTTCATTTCAGTTTGTAGAGAGGTGCACATGTGAGAATTCGATTTTATCAATTTGAATGGGGAAGACAGATAAGCTGATATGTCAAATTTTGAATTTTTAAGACAGGCAAAACTACATAGCAGGACTCAATGTGACAGTTCCTTAAATGAAAGCACCAACTAATTTCAAGCCATTTGTCACCCGATATGAACAGAAACCTAGACGGACTGAGCAACAAATTACATCATAACTTCTAAACTAACCTGCAATCAAACACCAAATGTCCTCAGATATGAAGCCCAGCAAAAAGCAACTCCAACACCTCATCTTGTGATGTGTCTCCCTATCAACCAAGAATAAATATCACATTAGTAATTTGGAGTCAAAAAATAAAAACATCAGATCTTTATATACCCCATCGTACATGAGACATAAACCATACCAATTTGGGGGATGGAGGGAGAGAGAAGGGAAAAACAAAGTCGGTTAATATAATCCATGTCCAGTACATCAATCTGAAACCATGATTTACAAATAGCATTATCCATGTAATATTAGTAAGAAGAAACATACTATATTTCAGATATTAGCTAATTCTTGAATACCCCTATAATCTCCATATGCAGGAGGTATTTCCATCTAAACCTTAAATCCAGCAAGCCCTAAATTTCCATTAATCAAAAAATCTCTAGCAAAATTGCACTTCAAAACAAAGATTTTGCCGAACAAAAAACAATAAAAATAAATTCCACAAACCTGAATCGACAGCAGCTGCAGTATTTTATTCAAGACCCGCAAACGGTGAGAAGCATATCTGCTGTTGGCGGGCAGCCTGTTCAATCTCTTCATTTCCTCATTGACAGCAGTCTTCTTTTCTTCATTTCCCATCTGCTTCCACACATGTTTATCAACCCCAGTCCCAGATAAATTCTGTGTGGGAACGCTATTTAGGGCATTGCTGCCCTTCTCTTGCTCAAAAGGATCCACCTTTGCACTTCAGCTGTCTAAAAATTACACAACAGCCCGTGATTCAAAAATTAATCAAATCAACAGCAAGATTAAAAGCAACCAACACCAAAAAAACCAAGTAATTAATTGAATAAACGTGCTTCACAATACACCATCAAATTCAGGTTAACCGTTGAAATTAAAATCAGTGGTTGATTCGTGCTCTTTTCATGTTTAACAGTAAATTTTCTACTAAATTACCTTACTCTAACCTGTAGCTCGAATTGCAGGTCAGGTTAATCGTCAAACTTTTCATTAATTTCACATTTTCATTCAGAGCCGGACTGAGTTTATAATCTCAATTAATAACATTACTCTAAAATTTCATGTGGGGAACTAAGAATTTGTTTGATTGCAAACGTGTAATTTGAATAGAAAAAAAATGAATGATAGGGAATTAATTGTTTAGAATTTGTTTGAACGAGAATACTAATTAACTGTGTTTAATTGATATAATTTTCTACCTGAAAAATGCTGAAAGTTTGGTATATGTTTGACTTCGTTTTTCATGAAAATTGTTCATTAAAATGATAATTTTTTACCATTGGATCTAGACTTTGTTCCAATTGTAAAAAAAAATTTTAAAAAAAATTATCATACCAAATATCATTCATTTGACCTTGTTTTGCATGAAAATTGTCAATAAAAATGATAATTTTTTTTACCATTGTATCAAAAAAAAATTCAATTGACAAAAAAAAAATCCTGAAAAATCAATTTCCACTGAATTAGTGGAAATTGGTTTTCCACGATACCAAGGAAAATGTGATGGTGTGAGGCAAACCAAGAAAATGAATTTCATGAAAAAAAAAATGTATCAAAAGTGGAAGTTAGAATTTATTTTCCATTTTCCATGAAAAATAATGACCTATCAAATAGGTCCTAAGATAAGAAAAATGAGTAACGTCTCGAAATTTTATCATTACTTTATGAAAGAATTATGCATTATAAATTATTAAAAAATGGATGGAAATCATAATTATGAAATTTCTAGTTTTGGAGTAAATAAATTAAAATTTTATTCTAATAATTTTGAGCTCATAAAATACTCTCACTCAATCATCTGATAACAAAATTAAATAATTACAAAGTACATATTTTTGCTTTCGTTCATTAATAAACTGCGAGTAATAACTCGCACAAGTGGCAGAGAGACGATCACCGACTCAAGAAATTGATAAATTGAGTATCTTTACAAAAATAAACAAATAAATAAAAATATACCAATCTTTTGTTACCCTTTTAAGGGACTTCGAAAAAAATCTAGAAATAATGTGTGCTACTATAACATTTTATAGTAGTAAGACTAAAGGGACATGAAGTGAGCAGTGACATTTTAGTCTATGTTTGGCACCACTCATTTTTATCTACTTAGTAATTTAAATTGTTTACAACATTACTCCCAACGAAGACTGTATAGTTACTAGACTTTTTGTATTAGCCAAACACTATAAAACAAGAAAAGAAAAAAAGTAAAAGATGATGATTTTCCATAGGGATGGACTAAATGATCAAATCACACTAGATCAAACCATAATTGAACAAAATCGGGTGATTCGATTTGATTCTACGAAAATAAATAAATAAAATTAATGACTTTACTTCTTAGAGCCAAGAATGATTTATTTCTGGTTCTAGTTTGATTCCAGTTCTAGAACTGAATCAAAACCAAACTCAATTGGAGTGTGTTTGATAGCCACCCAATTTCATGGAAAATGGAAAAGTACTTTTTCATTGTTTGATATGCTCTTTCTTCTAGGGAATTAGAAACTTTGCTTCACACGGTCACAATTTCCCTCAATTCCTTGAATTCATTTTTCCACTATTTTGGTGGGAAAATCTTTTCCAGGTTCTGCTATTATTTTTAAATTTTTTTTTTTTGCAATGTTAACAAATTTTATAACCAATTATATAAAACAAAAATTTACTGTAATGGACAAGTTCCATATAAAACGAATACTAAACTTCGATAAAAAATAGTCTTCGAGCAATTGTTTTTTTTTTTTTTTTACTTTTTGACAATGTTAACAAATTTCATAACCAATTGTAAAAAAAAAAAGAAAAAAATTCATTTTAATGGACAATTTTCATGTAAAACAAAGTCAAAGAATACAAAATTTTAAAATTTTTCGGGTGAAAAATTATACAAATCAAACACACTTAATTAACAATTCCATACAAAACAATTTTCAGGCAATTATTTTCCCTATAAATCATTTTCTTTGCACCTCTTTTTCACAATTACAATCAAACGGACCCTTATTATTATTATCGATAGATTTTAATTTTAATTTGCATTTATCATTTAAAAATTTAAATAATGGAATTAGAAACAAATCATAATCGAATGATTTGATTTAGCTTGGTTCCATATCTTAAAAAAACTTATTAATTCTATTATCAAAAAAAATTATAAATTCATCGTCTGATTCGATTTTCTTGAAATCAAAACTAAATTCAACCATGTTCACCTTAGCCACTATTTGATCTTGAAAAATGTATTATTCTTCTACTCATTTTTAATCACACATTTATCAATAAAATAATATTACACGTAAATTTAAAATTTTTCCTTATTTTTTAATCATACATTTTTCATCACATCACTGAAAAAAATACATTCTTCTCTTCACAATATGTATCAAAAACAACCTTATTAATAATTGAGCTTACGTTTACCCCAACTCTTGGCACGTGCGAAAGAACAGACCTCTCCAAATCAAATCAAATAAAATAAAAAAGAAGAAAATAGAAGAAAAAAAGAAAGAAACGACGATTTGCCATTTCTCTCCTTTCTCTACGCAATTTCACGGTGGAGGGGTGGACGGTCGAGGGGGAGGAGAGAGAAACAAGATCAGAGCCGTAGGACACTGTCTTTCATTTCTCACTTCCCTGCCCGGACTTAGAAAATCACCATGAATGAGAAGGCGAACGTTTCCAAAGAGCTTAACGCCACGCATAGAAAGGTCCCCAGATTTTGATAATCACCATGAATGAGAAGGCGAACGTTTCCAAAGAGCTTAACGCCAAGCATAGAAAGGTCCCCATTTTTTTTTTGATATTATAATTCTGCCCCTACCATTGATCTTATTTTTTCTCTTCTGCCGTGGATCTTAAAGTTTTGACCTTGATGGATGATTTTCGCTATTGTGCTTCTGGTTACTGGAATTCTTTATTCAGATTTGGCTTTTATTAATCTGGAGTATGCTTGAATTTTAAATTTGAGATTTATTTAGTTATAAATTATGTATTTTAGCCCAGTTTAGACAACTGGATTCATTTAATTGGATAAAGATGTTTTTGAGCTTGTTTTGGGTAGTTTGGTTCTGGTTTGATGAAAAATTGGGTATTTATTTTAATTAAATAATTGAGCAGAACATTTACATCAACACGTTTGCAGAATTGAAATAGCTGTTAATGTTTATGCTTTTGTTTTGCTACTGTTTATCGCGCACTCTGGATTTCTTTAAAAATATAGTATCCAGATGATCAGATAGCCATCTTGTGCCGCCATTTTAATTAATATTTGAAACTAATCTCTGTATCTGTTTATTGTGGTTCAGTCTATTATTTCTACTTAACCTGAAAGAAGGGAAAAGACAATTTCTAATGGTTTATGGTTGTCTTGGAATGAGAATTTCTATTTCAACTATATGCATTAGCCACGTTCTAACCAATCAGTCTTATAAGGTGTAAAATAAAATTATGAATAACAGCTGCGTAACTTTTGTGCGTCTACAATGAAATAGTGCGCTACGTGTTGCAGTCCCTATGAGTATATAGTTCTACTGTAACAGACACTATGCTTGTATCTCTGCAAATATTTGTTTCACTTCGCCTTAATCCTTGTTAACTCTTTCATGAATTACTGCACTAGAATCTCTGTATCTGCATAGCCACTTGTTTAACTATTAAATCAAGGTTCCTTTATTTTATTCTTTTACTTGGACAATTTTGCCACTCTATAGTGTCCATATATTCATTTCTTTCTCTCAACGGACTTGGCCTCTTGGTATAGTTTCTCAATTTTTATGTTTCATCTGATGTGAATTGTTAATAATCTCTTTTATTTCCAGATTTTGGAAGGTCTTCTTAAATTGCCAGAGAATAGGGAATGTGCGGATTGCAAGAGCAAGTACGTATTTTTAGATGATTTACAGATGATTTAGATTAAAGATGAGAATATAGGAATGCAGATCTGTCTTAGAAATTTTGCATCTTAGGTTATTGTGCAAATAGAATGTTAGACAGCTATGTTTCTTGGGCTATTTGAAATTTTGACATTTTGTTCTTGAAATGCAGAGGTCCTCGATGGGCTAGTGTGAATTTAGGCATATTTATATGCATGCAATGCTCTGGGATCCATAGAAGTCTTGGAGTACACATATCAAAGGTGATATATTGTTACTTCAGTTTTCTTTTTTACTTTTTGTAGAGAAAAACTGATTTATGCATAAATATGACAAGTAATGTACAGAGGTGAATCCATTCAGAAGTACAAAGATTCAATGAATTAGTCAAAGTCAAAATCCATATTCAGGAGTTAAAGAGTGATGCGGTCTAAATTATGACATAAAAATGATGATAGTGCCTTGCGATTTTCAGTGCTTTAAAATGATTTCCTGTGCTATTTATTGAGTCTTCGTGGCATGACACTGTTTATGGTAAATACCGTTTATATTTGACACGGTAAATAATGCCATTCCTTTGAAAATGAAACCTTTGTTCTCTCATCTTCATTTATTGTATTATTATTCCATGTTAAAAGTTCATATCTCATTCCTCATCTTCTGGGCTCTTGATTCTGTTTGGTTTTATGTGCCAAATGTATTGGACCTTAGGAAATACATCCATTTCGTTGTTGGTTCTGAAATTCATATTCACATCACTAAGAATGTCTTTAAATAATAAAATATCAAACCACAACTGTTGTAATAACATATAAGTCCTTATTCAAGTACATGCACTGAGGCTTTTCCTGCCTTTGGTTTGTATTCTTCTAAAAATGTATTTTTTTTTTTGAAGAAAAAGTGGAAAAGATAGCTTTAGAGGTTGAAAGATACTTGAAGCATCTCCAAGAGACTCTAAATACAAGATGCTTTTTATTTTAGAAGGCCAATGCTTAAAATAAGCTTGAAGTCTATTTTAGCTTCTTAAAATAGAGAGTGGATTTTGCTCTTATTCATACTTTATCATGAATCATTTCATAAATTAAAGGTTTCAATGCTTTGAAGAGCCAAACTCACTCTCTACTCATAATTTATAATAAATACATTTCATAAGTTGCAGATTTTAATAATCTACATTTTAAATTATTGAAAACATATTTGAATTGATTGGCCATTAGCGTGTAAGAAAATAATGTTAAATAAAAATGAGGATACATGAATAAATGTTTCTTGAAAAAGGAAAAATGAAGAGTTAAAATAGAAAATATTGTTGGAGTGCATTGAAAACTTCATTATCATTTAAAGATGCTCGGTAGTCTTTACAAATAGAAAGTCTCTTGGAGATACGCTTAAGTCTTAACCTACACCTTCAACCTACTTTCTTCATCGGTCTGCGATGTCAAGATGGCTTTGCTTTAAAGGTATTACTGCCAAGCCTATGTATAGTTCTAAATCCGCTGTTCTCTTCTCCATAATATGCAAACTTTTTATGTTTGATGTATCCTTTTGCAGTCTGTCATTTTCCAATGGCAACTTCTTAATTCTCTGAAATGTGTAGTGTTTGCATTCCCAGATTTCAAGGGTGTTTGGGGCACACTCGATGAATGTACCAAATGTTTAAATTCGAAAGTATTTTAGAGTAGACATGAAGTTATATTTAACGGGGAACTGTTTATACTGACCATTAAATAGACAAGGAGTAAGATGATTATGAAAAATATGGACTTTTTTCTTTCAATATCTTTCAATCTTACTGCTGTTCACTGAGCTAGTTCTTATGAGAAGTTAAATCTTATCTGATTTCTTTTGTAATTTCCCAGTGGCATTCAATAGAAAATGTGATTATGCACTCCTACTCCACTTTTTCTCCTATAAATATGGCCTGTACAAGGAATTGTGTAATTACAATACTGCTTAGCATTTGAATGGCCATGAATTTTGCTTTCTAATATTAATCAACTGGAAATTCATTCATTATCTAATAATCAATTTATGAATTCATTCTTTATCACTCATTTTCAGTTTACCTAAATTAATAGCTGTTTTCACTGCAATCAACCCTCTGTCTTCAAAATACTTTCATCATCCTTTCACATGCATTTCATCTGCTGCTCAGACAGATAGTTAATTGTAATTTATTTTTTTTAATACTTCTGTTCAATGTTTCATCTTCTCCCACTTGTAGATGCAATTGACTGATACCATTGTCTTTTGTTATAGCCTCAGCTGATCTTTTTGTGTATCTTTTTTGCAGGTGAGATCTGCTACACTGGACACATGGCTTCCTGAACAGGTTTCATTCATTCAATGTAAGACTTTTGTTGAGTATGATTCTTTCCTATAAATGTTAATTTGATACTTCTGAAATCTTTTGTAAATTAATTTATTTCCTTGTTTATATAGCAATGGGAAATGAGAAGTCAAACAGTTACTGGGAGGCAGAGCTTCCCCCGAATTATGATAGAGTTGGGATTGAGAATTTCATTCGTGCAAAGTATGAACTTTTTACCCTATGACCTCTTCTATATAGTATACACAACTTTATTTCTACAATGTTTGATCCTAGAATTGATTCAAGGCATGTCTCTTCTTAATTAAGGTATGAGGAGAAGAGATGGATTCCCAAGGACGGGAAGCCAATGTCACCCGTGAGGGGACGAGAAGAAAAAGCTTCTGTTCGGTGGCAAAGATCAAGTGATGGTCACGGATATATCAGTAGTTCTGGGAATTCTTCTCATGAGAACTTTCAAGCACCAAGTGCAAAGGAAAATATTCCTGCTGCAAGAGTTAGTCTCCCCGTGCCACCTAAAGGACCAGAACCTGTATGTTATGTTGTATATAACTCCTTACCCTTTCCCTTGTTCTCCTTGTATTTCTGTCAATTTTCTTTTGGTTTTGATAAAAATCAGATTTTTAGTAAATTTTGATAAAAGTTGATGAAATGTGTGGTTGAAAATGAGTCCGGGGAAAAATAAGTTTTAAGAAATGGAGGCCCGGGCAAAGATTAAATCACTCTTAAACTTTTGGGGTTAGTTAACAATTGAAGATCCCATTAGTGCTTGCTTGATATTTAGCAGGTGTCTCTAACTCATATTTTAATGGATTTTAAAAATCCATATAATTCTAAGTGTTCTCAACTCGGATATTCATTAAAATCTAAATGTTCTCCCCTTGGTGATTCTTTAAAATTGTATATGTCCCCCAATAACTCGTGGAGTTCTAAGGATTTCATTAATTGGAATGATTTTAATAGATTTTAGTTGATTTCGGGCACATACATATAAATACCAAACTTTTTAGGAATACCTACACGCCTCAGATTTTTATAGATTTCTTAGTGGATTTTGAGCCCATAAATTTTTTTATTTTTATTTTTTCAGAAATTCATATTCAATTTGTGCACCAGTGATCAAAGATCACAAACACATGTTACGAACTCCATTAATATAGAATAATTTGATTTATATTTATGATATAGTAATAAATTTATACTTTATAACATCATGCATTTCATGATACACAAATTCTTTTCTCATTTTATTCCATGCAACATTCTCTTGTTTTCACCTTTCTACTCCTACTATTAGTATAGCACATTCTTTATTTTGCTACTGTGGGGGTTCCTGAAGCACCAGAAGATTTACTTATTGGTGTCAATTAGACGGTCTATGGACTTTTGCTTTATACAAATCCTACAAAAGTTAAATTCCATAAAATAAATAAAAGAATTATTGTTCATTGTTTAATTTCCCAAAAAAAAAAAAAAAGATTAAATTTAGTAAGTTACATTGTAAAAAAAAGTTAGTTCTAATATATCAATTTCATGAGAATTCATAAAATCTGTAGTATAGAGTTCTTCTGAATTATGTGGAATTCTATTAAAATCTGAGTTAATGTTTTTCAATCCATAAAACGTGGTATATTTCTTGGTCAAGATGGACTTCATGAGAAGAGGTCATAAAGCATGAAAATCTTTGGTGGGAACAAGGGATAATGTCATCAACCATGCAACGTTGAGATGCAACGGTCCCCATATTGCTAACCATGTTCAGCAGCGGATGAAGAGATTACAGTTCATCCTCTATTCATCTTTTAATTTCCTAGTCTGTCTGATAGTTGATATTGTAATGCAAACATGCCTATACATGATGATTTTGGTTTTCTATTAACTACTACTATTTCATATACCTTCAGAAAGGTGAAACTTCAGACTGAGGCAAACTTCAGATTGAGGCTAACTTGTTTGTCTGGAAAACAGATTGCTTCTGCTCCAGTGCCTCAACAAGTGATTCAGAAAACAGAGCCAGCTACACCTGCTGAACCTTCAAAGCAGGTCACAGATGCTGTCTCTCCTCCTAAAGTTGATTATGCTACCGATCTCTTCAATATTCTTTCTATGGATGACTCTAATGAAAATGCCATGGGCGAAGCTTCTGCAGAAGATATTTCATGGGCAGGATTCCAGTGTACGTCAGTTGTTCACATTTTGGTTGATCTTTCTATCCTTTTGTTTACTTCCTGTTCTGCATATCTGTTACTAGAGCGGGTAGTTTTCTTCTTTTCGTTTGGGGCTGGGTTGGTGGGTGGTGGTAGTGTTTGCAGTTTCAGAGGTTGAGGATTTCAAGTTTCTCAAGGTGGTAAATAAGGGGATTAAGCTTGTCTCAGCTGAAAATTATACGTGACAACTTTCAGCTGCCGGCGCATCATCAACAGCAGAAAAAACTGCTCCAGAGAAATCTGATGGTAATAAGACTGAGTCTGCTTCTGCTTCTGGAATTGAGGATTTATTTAAAGATTCACCATCAATTGCACCTGCTTCCATGTCAGAGAAGCCTCAAAAAGATGTTAAAACTGATATTTTGAGTCTGTTTGAGAAGGTATGTTGCATGCTAGAGAATTATTGATGGATACAGATTTATTTTTTGGAGTTTTGATGGTTCTTACAAATGTTGATTATTCACAATGGATTTGAGAAGGCTGGCTAGTTTATATCTTTAAGGTTGGGTTTAATCAACATTTGTGAACAGAGTTGACTATTAGGATTCCATTCTAGTAATGCCATGTTCTAGCATTGCTCAAAAACCAATTTGTTAATATCATTATTGCATTGCAGTCCAATATGGTGTCACCATTTGCTTTGCACCAACAACAAATTGCGATGTTGGCACAACAGCAGTCTATTCTAATGGCTGCTGCAGCTAATTCTTCTGGTGGAATGCCAAAACTTCATGGTAATACACAACAAGCGCCAAATGGTGCCAACTTGTCCAATCAACGTTGGCCAAATGTTGGGTACCAGTTCCCTGGAATGATGATACCAGCAACTGGAAAGAGCGAGTATATGCAGGTAGAATATTGTGATATTGCATGCTGCTTCATTAAATATCTGAAACTTTCTTTATGCTCACATTCTGGTGTTTTTTTTTCTCCTGAGCTAGATGGGGAACATGGCAGCAAGTCATCCAGTAGGGAACTCTTTCCCTCTCCCAGTTTCCAGGTATTTATTTATTTTTTACGTGCTATAGTGTTGTGAAAATCTGATTCTCATTTTTTTGCACCTCTGGAAAGTGTTATTATCTATTTTCTTTATTGAAGATGAATATCTTTGATTCTGTCCTTCTCATAGACCACTTTTTCCATGTGTATATTTAATGTATTCATTGTTAGTAGCACTCTGCTGTCTACATTTTTTCGAGTTGAAGATTAAGAGAGAACACTAGATTTTTTTTTTCCACTGTTCCTGACCTCAGTTAGCAATCTGCCATGATGAGCTAGAGACAAGCAGTGGGTGTGGCCACATATGCACGTGGGCTGCTTTTATACGGTCTGCCATTTTCTTCGGTCTGATCTACATCCAGTACCATGTTAAACTTCCTTTTGTAATATTGACATGCCTGGTTTTCTAGCAAACACTGCCCTCCTTACACAGCATGAGTTCCATTAAAATGCCTGGCAGTTGACAAACTGTTTTACCCATTTTGTCCTCTTCAGTTAGAGAAGATGAAATCTATAATGATTCAACACTCTCAGTAAGTACTGCCCAGGACGAGTTCAAATTTGTAGCATTGAGTTTTTGCTCAGCTTTTATTTTCATGTTTCTCTTAGCCCCTGTTTGACAGAACCTTTTTTGGAAAGAATGAGTTTTTGAATAGTAAATTTTTGGAAAATGTGTGGTTAAAAAGTAGGGAAAAGTTTTGGGTTTAAGTGATGAATATTTTATTGTGAGAATGTGTGGTTGAAAATGAGAATGAGAAAAAGAGTTTGGAAATAATAGGTTATCAAACAGGGGCTAAAAGTTGATATAAAAATAAATGAGTGTTATTTTAGTTTGGTAGTGTAAATATCACAAGTCCATTAATTTGTTAAATAGTATTAAAGGACTGGAATGGTGACTTCATTTCATGCAGACGCTTGTAATACTTGGAACTTTCTTGATTATTTTGTATCAAAATGCCATTACAATACCGTGTTTTTGTCACGAAACGTTTTTTATTTGAGCAAGGGTGATGCAGAGTACATATTATGTGCATTTTCTTCAAAATTTCGTTTCGTGTTTCAGCATGCATTCCATGGGACCCAACACTTCTAGCAATGGTAGTTTGCCTTCTGGAGTGACCAAACATACAGCATCGTCGGTTTCATCCGCTTCTCCACAGGCAGGAAAAGATTACGATTTTTCATCCTTGACACAAGGGTGGTTCTCAAAGCAGCACTAAGAAGGCCTAAGGTTTTGGTTAAGTCACAACACACCACACCAAAAATTTCACGGAAAAAGGTAGCTTTCGGAGATTTTTCTCCTAAATTACGGATTGTAAAACTATACGAAGACGAGCAGTTTCTGCTTTTCTTCGTCTTGGGGGTGACTTTTATTTGTAGTTTTACATGTGAGTAATAAATCTGTTTAGATTGAAATATTCTTTCTTCTAGAGTCTCTATACTCTTTGTTCATGTGGATTAATTCAAATCTTAAGAAAAGAAAACTTATTTACACTTATGTCGTCTATTTTACTGCGTCAATTACATGATTTGGTGGTTGCCCAGTGGCTTTATAATGAAATACTAGCTAATAGCACATGCGTTGAACGTGATTTTATTATAGAGCCTGTTTGGTAGAGATTAAAATCGGATTAAAATTGAAAAATTAGCCGTTATTATTGACTTTTATTAGACGAGTGAGGTCCAATAACGGCTATATTTTCAATTTTAATATGTACCAAACGGGCCCATAATATTGTGTGGTTTTTTTTAATTCCCGAAATTTTTAATAATAATAGTTAAAGTAAAAAGATCAAACCTTGTCGCCGAAAAATAATACATCGATAGAAAATGATTTTTAATCTCGTTCAAAAGTAACAATAGTTTGTTGTTATAAGAAATAAAGTTCGTAAACTAATTACGAAGACGAGAATTTGAACAAGAAGACGACATTAAAATGGAAAATGCTTGTTGTACGTCACAATTTATAGATTTTTTTTTATCAGATGAGTTAGGTGATAAAAAGAGAGTGGAGGAATTTATTTATTTTTTTAGTTGGTTGGTGGATTCAATTATATTTCGTCACATCATCTAGTGATAAATAAATTTGTAAATTGTGATGTACATGTAGCACAGTTCAAAAAGTAAATACAAATTATTCATGTCTTCCATTAAATAATGAAATAAAGTAAAGAGATGTACTAATTTGGTACAAGTTGGTTAAAGCTAACAAATTAACATGTTGATGCCAACTTGTTTACTTTTCAAATAATAATTGGAGATATTGCAGAGAGTAAGTAAAGACCCTTCTCATTATTCAGTCAAACAAAACCAATTAAATTTCAAATTCTTAGGCAAACGAAGAAAATAAGGAGTTGTACCATGTAACAAGTAATCCACGTCATTTCTATTGGTTGTTTCCTTTCTCCATTAGTGATGATTAAACTTGTAAGCTAATCCTAGCAACGGATACAGACATAGGCTATTCATTAGTATAGTCAAATATGGCTGTAAATATGAATGGATAATCTTAAATTGTATGCTATGTTGGTAACCGTCCATGGTGATGTAATCTTCATTGTTTTCTAATCGTACACTTGTTGATTGTATTTCAGTTTGGCGGTAACGTAATCTTATACGATTCAATAATTTTTTCTTTTATTTTCTATAATCTATCGATTTAAAATCATCACGTTATATTCTTACGAAGGGAAGAGAACTGCATTTTTTTTTTTCAAGATTTAACTCCTTGTGAAAATTAAAGGAAAAATTAAAATGAAAGGAAAGGAAATTTTGCAGCATTGGTATTGAATATGTTTGAATAACAATTAACAAATTAGCCCATTACTTTTATATTTGTCCAATCAATTTCTAACTACGGAAAATTTTCAATTTTCTTTTAACCCGTGTGACTATTACAAAAACATATCTTGTTTCGAATTCTTTTTTTTTTTTTTCTTATTGACGTAGGAATCCGCAGTCGTTACCCGTCGCGGAGCCCCGATCACCCCGAAAGGGCGGAATCCCGACCACTGTGAATGCGTACTAGATAAACTCCGCTTCATGTACAATAACCCGCAAACCACACTGGAGATGTAAATTTCACTAGGCATGTCCGGCGTGACGGACTTGATGGAGGAAGCGTTGATAAGAGATTTGAACTCGTGATTTTTAGTTTCCGCGTTCACCTGCTCCATCAACTCGACCACCCTCGAAGGGGTATCTTGTTTCGAATTCTTGACTGTTTCAAGTCGTGAAGCAAAAACAACTTCGGGGCTTGGACATGAAGGTCACGTGATAATTTAATAAGAGTTGAATATTTTTGTCATTGAAAATCCCATCATAATTGTAACAAAACTTGAAGCATACGAATTCTAACTTTTTCTTCTTTTAATATATTAGAAAACTCCATCCATACAAGTTTTTTCGAAACTTTATTGTTAAAACAACTAATAATTTAGAATAATTAAACCTAGCCAATAATTCTCATATTACATCGCCTGTGTTTCGTTCAATATAAATAGTTGATCAATATTCAAGTCAAAATTAACAATTAATTTTAACTACACATTTACGGGATTCACAACTTTTCGTGCTAACACACCCATATAAGGATGAGTCCAATTAAATGAACTTTAAATAATGGACAACGGCCTTTGATTTAATTTTTACCAAATAGGGACTTAGTACGGCTTACATCAAACGTTACTCAAATAATAGACAACGGACTTTGATATTATCTTCACTTATTAGTTATTATCAAAATCATTATATTTTTCTTCAAAATTATAATTAAAAAAAAAGTACGTGTGAATTTAGCAAAAGTACCACCACCTCCTTCCTTCCCCTATAAGTACAAAGCGGTTACCCCTCTCCTCAAACACTTCCCAGTCCTGCATCACTCTTCTTGTTCACTCATTATAACCCGCCGGAGAAACGAGTTCATCTAAATTTTTTCACCGGAAAAAAAAATGCCGATTCTATATCGAACATCAAGTAGCCTTATGTTTTCGTTACAAGTTGTTTTAGTATCCGCAAGTCTTTTATCCGCGGCACTCATGTTAAAAATTTCCGTTCCGGCAATTACAGAATTCCTTGTTTATGAGGTACCTTCGATTATAAACGGTATCGCTTCGTGGTTCAAGCCTCCATATTTGTTTCTTGTTATCAACTGCATCATCATCACCATTGTAGCTTCCTCAATATCCCAGTCGAAAAAAGACGACGTATCACCACCACTACCGTCAGAGGCGGCGCCTTACCTAGAAACTGCTGCTCATATTCAACCTCAGCTGCGGGTGATGCCTGTTGCTGAAAATCCCCAAATAGTTCACTCGGCAAACGAGTATAAACATGACGGCGTCGTTTTGATCAATGAAGCGGTGCCGGAGGGCTATGCTAACGTTGTTATTGACAACAATATCGGTTTTGCACGCATGGAAGGAAATGTTTTGGGAAATGAGACGGCATCGTTTAACGTGAATGCCGATAGTTTCAATGACAAAGAGGATGTTACCAGTAATAAGGAGAATGAATATGTCAATTCAAAGTTAAAAGATGCGCCAGAATATTCATCTTCCAATGAGAAGCCATGGCCACCGCCGGTTTCTGCGAGGTTCGGTAGCCGGAGAAATAGCAAAGCCAGTCCAGAAGGTATTGTTCTTTTTTATCTCTCTGTTTTGCACACTCATACACAATGATGAATATAATCATCATCGGTAAATTCATTCCGGTGGGTTTTGGCCGATAACGATTACTTGCTGGAGTAGAGGCTGGTAAATATTACCGTTTGGAGTCCAGTTGGCCACAATCTGGTGATTGTTGATCCATATTATTAAAGTGGACTTGAAACAGATCTAACGGTAGTTGGATAAGGGTGCATGCATATTATATTCTTTTGTGTAGTTGATTGCCTTGTGAAATTGAAATGACGGAACTAGCTCTGGATTGAGAAAGTGGACAAAACGATGACCTAACTAACTATTCCTTATCAGGAATCGGACCGCCATGGAATTCGAAACGATAAGGCCAGACCGAGTCGTCTACTGTAGAGTTCTTGCGTTACATGTCTTTAATAATGTCAATATATCGAAAAATTCTCTAAAATTTTAATTATTTCTATCCTGTTTTTATAATTACACACCTTGCTCTGCAGGTGGTAAAACGGCGTTGGGAGTGTTGAAGCCAACCAAGCAAGACACGCTGGAAAGTACGTGGAAGACAATAACCGAGGGACGTGCAACGCGACTGAAGAGGCACTTGAGAAAATCAGACACGTGGGAGAGGGACAACCATGTTCATGATCGTCATAGTCATAGTCACCGCCACCTTCCACCACAACAACAGGAGAAGAGTCCAAAAAAGATGGACAAATCCGATACATTTAGTGACCGTACCAATACTTCTAGCCCCCAACTAAGTCCGTCATCTAGTGGCATCAATAAACTTAAGAAAGAAGCATCGCCAAGTCAAGATGAGTTAAACAAGCGGGTGGAGGCATTTATTAAGAAGTTTAACGAGGAGATGAGATTACAAAGACAAGAGTCTTTGAATCAATACATGGAAATGATCAACCGTGCATCACACTAGCTAGCTGAGGAATTTCTCTTTGATGGGGCTGGCTACTTGCATTAGAGTGCATTTGCTATATTCATAGTAGGGTTATTGTTTTTTCTTGCTTTTTTTATTTTCTTCTATAGAAGGGAAAGAATGTGTGGTAGGTAAACGGTGTTATTTACAATTAAGTGTGTGTTTGATGTATATTATTGAGGAAATAATGTATTTTAAATAGTGATATGGTGAGAAATATGTGGTTAAAAAGTAAGGAAAAGTTATTGATGTGATGAAAAATATTATTTTATTGAAAAATTTGTGGTTGAAAATGAGTTTTGAAAAAAAATATTTTGAAAGAATGTATATCAAATGCCGGTGTTTGCGGTCATAGCAGCACCGTGCGAGGGAAAATGATGATTTGTGACCGATGTAGTGGTAGTGATTCAATGGTGGCGGAGACGGTAGGGAGTTTGGGGATTTTTTGGTGGGTGTGGTGGTTGGAGTGTGATGAAGGTGGTGGTTGTGATTTTTTGTACATTGGTGGTTTTGCTACTTCTGCTGGCCGTGACGTTGATGGTATGGGGAGGATGTGGTGGTGGTGGTCGTGGTGGCGATGGTGGTGGGATGGGATGTGGTGGTGGTGTAGGGGGGTGGTGGTGTAGGATTCTCTAGCGGTTTTGGATATGATTTGTTGGTGGTTGTTGGGTGGCGGTTGTGGTGGTTTTGATTTGGTAGAGGCTGTGGTTTTTGTTGTCGGCGTTGTTGGTGGATCTGACGGTTGCGATGATATTTGTTGGATTTAGTGGAGATGGATTTAGCGGTGACAATGGCAGTTTTGTAGTTGAAAATAGTGGTCGACAGGAGGTGGTGGTGGTTCTAGCGACAAAGGTGGCGGTGCTGCTACTGAGGGGAGTGGTGCGATGGTGGTCACAAATGTTGGTTTTGGTCACAAATTATTTGGTTGATTGTGGCTATTAAATTAGTTAATCTGTGACCAACGAAAAAATAAATTGTGACAAAAAAATAGTGCGTGACCTAGAATTATTTTAGATTTGTGACCGAAAATTTGACAATTTGTGACCGTCTACAAAGTTGTGAGTTGTAATATTTGTGATTTGTGATCGATAAATAAATTATGACGTATAAATTTTGATTTGTGACCGATAAACTAATTGTGACTTATAAAATTTCTTAATTGTGAATGTAAAATAATTTTTGACCTATAAAATTCCTAATTTGTGATCGTAAAATAATTTGTGAATTATAAAATTTCTGATTTTTCATCGATGAACAAATTGTGACGTATAAAATTTATGAATTGTGACCGTAAAATAATTTGCAACATTTCAATTTTTTATTTGTTACCGATAAACAAATTGTGACTTATATAAAATTTTTGAATTGTGACCGTAAAATAATTTGTGACATGTAAAATTTGTGATTTATGACCGTAAAATAATTTGTGACTTATAAAATTTCTTATTTGTGTCCGATGAACAAATTGTGACATATAATTTTTTTTGAATTGTGACCATAAAATAATTCGTGACGTTTCAATTTTTTATTTGTGACTGATGAACAAATTGTGACCTATAAAATTTTGGAATTGTAACCATAAAACAATTTGTGACATAAAATTTGTGATTTGTGATCAAATTATATGGAATTGTGACCTTAATATATTTAATTAATTAATTAAAAAAAATCTAAAATTTGAAATTTTAAACTTGATGTCTTAAATTTGAAATTGGTAAAATTTAAACTTACTTTTGAATTTTTCCCTTACTAGTTCAATCCAAGGCCCACAATCAAAGTGGCCCATTTATACTGTAACACCGATCCATTGCTTAGATCAAGGCCTATCATCAAATCTACCCTGAGAGTTTCAGCCCTCCACCTAGCCCATGACCCGAGTACAACATCCTTGACCTATGCAACTACGATGTACATGACCCACACAATGTGTAACTGCCTCGAGCCCTATATGTTGAACTCTTGTCGAAGTAAACAAACAAAAATACCTTATATGTAAGTAGTCAAAGCCAGGGACGGACCCCGTACCAGGCCAGGGGGCACGGCCGCGTGTGCTGGGCTCCGCGGGACCGCCGTAGCAATTGGGAATTTCGACAGGTCGCCGACAGCTTCTGATTTCTGACTGTGAGTACTGGTTCGTCTTCTATTCTACCTTCTTCTTCTTTTTTGTGAGATTGGGCCAATTTGGCCCAGCCCCTAATTTTTTTTAAAAACTGGGCCCAATCCTTAAATATATAGTTTATAAGCCCAATGGCCCTCTTATTAAAATTGAAATCCATCCCCAAATCACCAATTCCCAATTCGACTCCCAAGTCTCGCCTAATCGCCCGTCCCTGGCTGTAGTGCCGCTGCCACCACCACCACCACCACCAACAATCTGGCCAGCCCGCCGTCAGGATGCTACCTTCCCTTCCGACACTCCGTCTGTCAGTTCGAGTCCCATCCGTCGTGAGTTTTGGTGAATTTGGAACCGTAAGTGTTTATGAATTATTTTGGGCATGTTATAGTTGATGCTAAATCATGAAATTTAAGTGCAATGAAATGCAGATTTAGTCTCTGTTTGTCTCATTGTCTGATTTATTTGCTGATGGAAGTTTAGCCGTTTTAGGTATACTTGGTTCTTTTGCAAATTGCAATCAGTTATCAATGAATTTGTTGTCTTGTGCTATTGCCTTTGACTGTTGTGCATTGATCTGGAATGAGAAATTAATTGCAATCAGTGAATCTGATTTCTTTGCTAATGGTTTATCATTTGTATCGTATGACTTATGATGAGATTATGAGAAATTAGTTCACTGATTGTCTATAGTCTGATAATCTAATTTATGTGTTGCACTTGCACACTTGTACTATTGTTTGAAATTTTGAATTACGAATTTTAATATAGGGTTTAGTTTGATTGAATTGTGATTTGGATTTTGGCCCATTTTCTTACTAATTGTCGACGTTGACTGGTTAACGTCCGTTTGGGCTGGGATGATTTACTGTGTCCGTCCCTGGTCAAAGCTGTGCATGAATTCATTATGCAGTTTGAGAAGCAAAACTTATATATCTCATCTTCTATCTATTTCTTGGATTGAGCATGAGAAGTTTTCCTGCAGTGGTCTCTCAATAACTCTTTTAACATGTTTGTAGTCGTAAATTCTAAAAGATACAAATTATCCAATAATCATAATCAACTATGTGAAAATCTTGAATAAATACAAGCTTTGAGAAAATAATTATTCAGAGAACAAAAGAAAAAGTAGAAATAAGTGGAAGAAGAAAAGTAAAAAAGGTAATCACTCATCACTTCCTTTTTATCACCATTTTGTCTTAAACTAATGGCTTCACTTTATTGGTAAGGGTAACCAACATATCCACATGCCCGACAACAATTTCTTGTGACAATCATTTGAGGATGAGTCAACATGCCATGGTTGTTAATTGTTATAATGGTATCGGTCCAGTCTAGGATTTGCTTTTACGCACATTCTCATCGATATCGTTTTAAGAATGCATTGTGTATGCATGTTAATGAAGACGTGTATGATCTGAATTTCATTAATTTATATGAAAAATGCTATGTGTACACCATGTGGTTTGATATAGGACTAAGATTTGATATGATATTGCTGCACTTTTATTTTTAGGTTTGTCAACGTTTAATAAATTTAATCATTAAAAATAATTCTTCTGTCGGAATTAAAACAAGTAGCTTGCTTACGTCCAATTATGAATAACAAAATTATTCAGTACTCATGCATAATGTTTTTAAGCTTAGGCAAAACGTACTAACCAAAGACGAACTCAAGAATTTAAGACGCACTGGTTGAAATTTATCAAGTTGACGAGCAAAAACAATTCACTAATTTGCCAACAAGACAACATGGATTGGCCTGTGTAAATAAATTTACTTCAAGCATTTTCATCGACATATACGCACCTCATCGTTACAATAGAAGATTAATGCTAGCATCGGTGACGGATTTTGGGGGTGGGGGACTGCTTCCAACTCATTTCAATTTTCTATAGGTTAAAAGAAAAAATTTAAAAGTGAAATAAAAATTTTATATGTAATATTTTTTTACGTATTAACCCGCCTTTTTTTTATTCGATCTTGAATCCGCCAATGGCAGACACATTGATATTGAAAATCAGCTGGCCAACCCTACGTCTCTGGACTTTGTAATAGTTGAAATAAGAATACTTGGCCGCCAAAAAGAGGAGGATGTAGTGATCGATTATGTTGAATGGAGTTTTACAGTATAAAATAAAACAATTCAATAGAATTATGTTGTAATTTAGAATTTAAACTCGTCTTTAGCTGGGTGAGAAGACTTAGACTCTGTTTGGGAGAGATTAGATTTTTCTACAGTAAATCAATTCTCATTTTCAACCATACATTTTTTAATAAAATAATATTTTTCATCACATCAATAATTTTTTCTTCTTTTTCAACCACACATTTCCCATCATATCACTATTCAAAAATCAATTCTTCCCCCCTATAATTCAATAGAATTATGTTGTAATTTAGAATTTAAACTCGTCTTTAGCTGGGTGAGAAGACTTAGACTCTGTTTGGGAGAGATTAGATTTTTCTACAGTAAATCAATTCTCATTTTCAACCATACATTTTTTAATAAAATAATATTTTCCATTACATCAATAATTTTTTCTTCTTTTTCAACCACACATTTCCCATCATATCACTATTCAAAATCAATTCTTCTCCAAAAGATCTCTCCCAAACAAGCTCTTGTATATGAAGTCCTATCAAGATTTTAAATTTTGCAATGTTGATAACAAATAAAATGACCATCAATTTGATCCTTTGGAGAATAACCAATTGTTGCAATTTTGAAAAATATAATTTGATTATTACTACGAGGGTGTTTGATGGATATTATTGAGAAGAAAATGTATTTTAAATAGTGATATGATGAGAAATATGTGGTTAAAAAGTAAGAAAAAATTATTAATGTGATGAAAAATATTATTTTATTAAAAAATATGTAATTGAAATTGAATTTTAAAAGAATGTATGTCAAACACGGGCTACGTAGCAAAATGTGGAGCATACAGCAATAATGTGACGAAGTGGAAAAGTGGAAAACACAAACTAAGTTCCAATGGAGCGGGATTAGGTACACCCTGCTGGGGCCAATTAAAAATTGGCCCTTGACTTGACCCTTGATTTGACTTTGCCTATTTGTGCATGTCGTTTTCCTCAAATAGCGGGGGCCACTTTACCGTTATCATTCCATGCTTATGCTTACAAGTATTTGATCATTTTAGGATTATTCAATTACTTAAATACCCACTCCTCCAAATTTAGATATGAGAAAGTAGGAGTTGATCGTATGTCTAAAATGGTAAAAATATAATACCTAATCAAGAACACAGCTTTTTCCCATTTCATCCACTGGGACCAGCTTTAGCAATTGTGTCCCTTAATTAATTCAATTGAATAATAATCCTCTTCTCGATTAAAAAAAAAAAAATTCAAATAATTTATTCTTATCAGATCTCAACGGTTTTAAATTCGCCCCTGAAAATTGATTCAAATTCTCTCACTCTGGTTTCCCTATTTGGTGTAAAAAAATTCTTCCCTTTTTGGTTTGTTGTGTTAAGAGAATCTAACAATAAAGCTTGTTTTGATTTTAGATAATTTCTGGAACCAACAAATCAAACTTTGAATTAGCCTCGTAACTCTCGTTTAAACCATAAAACGCAGTTTCAAACGGTTTTGGGAAAAGCTTTTACGTTCATTTTTTTGCTTTCACGAAAATCAAAAAACCCTGCAGCAGCTTAGAGTTTTGGGTTACTTTCCTATTTCAATTTGAGGAATTTTTTGCTAGATAAATCCTGCTTTCTTGCAATTTCACCTGAAAATTGCCTCTGTTTTGACATGCGAATTAAGAAATAATGATTAGAAGTTCTTAGACTTGTAATTTGGGATAGGGTTTTAGGCTCATGTTTAGAACAATGCATCGGGAACATTGTTCGAAATCCAAGCACCAAAACAACTTGTATGAAATCTGATACAAATTTTGGGTAACGCAAACTATTAAAAATGCTGTCTATGTCTCCAAATTCAATAGCTCGGAGCTCCCTGGAGGAAATGCTGGATTCTCTCCGACGGAGGGATGAGATGGAGAAGCCTAAAGACATGCCCCCGGCCTTGCCAGTCCGGCCCAGAGCTGCCTCCCGGTCTCGGCTTCCCTCAGCCAAACGGTCGCTGCCCACAAACTTTAAAATTGGGGAATCGGAACCGCCAGATAGCTCATCAAATTGTAATGTTAAGAAGGAAGAAACAAAAGGGTCGAGAAGGAATAGTTTTGGGGCCAAAAAGATTAAGGAAATGGATCGGAGGGAATCGCCCTATGTTGTGGTGTCTAACGAGAAGAAATGTGAGAGGAGATTGGAGGAGAAAGATGGTGCCAAACTCGCCAGCTTGCCTTCCGGATCGCTCCCGAGGCTTAGGGAGCCTGAGTGGGATGATAACCTTGGGTATTTCATTAAGAAGGTAACTAATGTGGTCAAATTTGTTGTTTGATTATAATTATGGCTTTCATTTGTGGGATTAAATGTTCATTTTATTATGGTTTTAATAGTAGATCCATAGAACAAAATTCAGACGGGATGGCATCTAATAGTTTAAGGTTTATGCATTTATGCAGAGACAGAGGACATGCTCGGAATTTGTAATAAAGAGGATTTATTAATATCCGTAATATTATGTAGTTAACATTATACACTTATAACTAGTTTTGTCTTTGATTTTAAATATTAAGCTGTTGTTTATTGAAAATCTGGAATGCCTTACATTTTATTAAGTTAGCTCAATATATCATATAACATAGGACCTTTTTCTTGAGGAGTGCTGCCTTTTGTTCTCTTTTTCCAGTGAGCTAGGAAAGTAAAGTATGCATATGAAGCCCTCCTTCAGTCCACTTGGTCTTGTGCCTTGCTTATGTGCCGGAATTCGCTCTGTTACTACATTTGAGATGTAGTTTTGGATGCTCGAGCATTTGAATGGGACGCACAACTTCTTAGTCAATCTAAATGATGACAGTTCTGAGTGTACCCCTTGTCCCAAAATTGAAAATTTAAACTAATACTTATGAATATTATTTTAAGGTATAATAATGGGTCAAGGCTTCTATATGCTTATATTACTGAGTATTTTTTGATAATATGAAAGATTGCTTTGGTCAACAACTCCTCATTTTCAAAGAGGTTATGTTTCAGAAACTTCGTGTATGGTGTCGGCGTCTAAACGGGCTATGGGAATCAGGGCTGATACAGTCAACTTCAGGAGACAAAGCTTTGATTTTGCTGTCAGATGGAAGTGTAAGCTCCGATGTTTTCTTATTTTTTTCAAATATGTATGATGAAGCTGAGAAACTCAAGATAGAGGATGTGCTAACTATGTTTGTACTATAGGTTGTTACAGTGCCCACAGGGGAGCTCTTACCTGCAAATCCAGATATTCTTGAGGGTGTGGATGATCTTATACAACTTAGTTATTTGAATGAACCTTCAGTTCTTCACAACCTTCAACACAGATATTCTCAAGACATAATATATGTATGTAATGATTTGACATTTATATTATTCTCAACAAGAAGAAATTTGTGTGTCCACTCTTGAACTATTTCTTGCGTTTATTTCTCAGAGCAAAGCTGGCCCTGTTCTAATAGCAGTCAACCCCTTCAAAGACGTCCACATTTATGAAAATGATTTTGTTACGGCCTACAGACAGAAGCTTTTGGACAGCCCTCATGTTTATGCTATTGCTGACACTGCCTACAATGAAATGATGACAGGTGTTATAGAATACTTGAAAGAATTCTGAATATAGGCTTCTTATTGTTCATATGATACTTTTTGAAGACACTCTCATTTTCTTTTGCTGTAAATTGTGAATCTTGCAGATGAAGTAAATCAATCCATCATTATAAGGTGTGTTTGAATTGTCTCTAATTCTCCTCTCAACTGTTGCATTTGATGCTCCCATTTAGTGCTTCAATTTTGCTCCTTGGCCTTATTTTGCTTTCATTGGATTTTATGCTTACTGTCTTTTAGTGTATATTTATTGTCATAGTCTCCACCCTCCAGGAAATTAATAATTTCCGTTTATAATTTATAGTGGGGAGAGTGGTGCTGGTAAGACTGAAACTGCTAAGATTACAATGCAATACTTGGCTTCACTTGGTGGAGGTACTGGTGGGATAGAGTCTGAAGTGCTGCAGACAAGCTGTATACTGGAGGCATTTGGTAATGCTAAAACATCCAGGAACGATAACTCCAGCCGATTTGTGAGTTTCTCTATTGAGTACTTTTGTTCAACAATGAGACGCATACTGCATTTTTCTTTGCAATAGACATTTAAATAAATGGTTCAGACATTCTCGATTTGGTGCAGGGAAAGTTGATTGAAATTCAATTTAGTGCTACAGGAAATATAGTTGGTGCTAAAATACAGACTTGTAAGTTCATTTGTATTTGCCTAGTTGAATTTAGCTGACATTATCTTTTGTTTGGTGTTTGAGTCATAGTTAACTAACCTTGACTTATTAATATTTTGTGCATGTCAAACAATGTCTCCTGAAATGATGGTGTAGTTCTACTTGAGAAGGTTGGTATTCTCTTTCTACTCATAATTCCATTTTATTTTCAACTTTGCACCTCTTTCTTGGACTAATTTTTATTTTTTAAATAATAATAAAAAAAAAACTGGAGCAGTCAAGAGTGGTTCAGTTGGCCCAGGGAGAGAGGTCGTACCATATCTTCTATCAGCTTTGCACGGGGGTTTCTTCTACTCTCAGAGGTTTTCTTTCAGCTCTTGCTCTGTTCCTGATAGTGCTTCACCTTATCTTCCTCTCTATGCCTCCCCCTATATTTGTGCGGGGGATTTGATAGGGTGGTCTAGAATGGTGGTTGAATCTGAGTTTATGTCTTATATTACCATTTAGTGTTACATTATGCATGAAAATCGCAGAGAATGTTACTATCCTTCAATAGTTAGAAGTAAAGAAGTTCAGATAGTGTCCAGGTTTGTTTGTAATTGAAAATCTTGCAAAGTTTATAAAGGATAAAGAGAATTTTGATGTCTCGGATTTTCGTGAGGGTCAAGTTTTTTTGTCTCATGGAACTTCTGGCATTTGGCAGCCAGCAAGCAAGTCGATAGTTGTTGACAGACTTCTATTCTACTTTATTTTATAGCTCTGTTCTATCTACCTCGTTGTTTCTTGGCAAGATGCATGACAGAGTAAACTCCCTGAAAAATTATAATTTCTCTTACTTAGCCTGTGTATGTGGTTTTATTTCAGATAGATTGAGGTTAAAAAGGGCTTCTGACTACAATTATCTCAATCAGAGTGGTTGCATGGCTATCAATGGTGTTGATGACGCTCAGAAGTTTCACATCCTTGTGGTAATTTGAGAAAGTACCTATGTGTTTTGCACTATCTATACAGTGATCAGCTCTCACCCTTTTCAAATTCCGTACAACTCACCGCACTATGGCCTTCAAAGCAACTTCAGCTATAGAAAGCTCTTAACATTAAAAAGAATAAAGTTTTTTGACCTCGGTTATCTTTTGAAAATTATTTTTGCAGTCTATTTTTCTCCTCATTACAATATGTTGTTGATTCAGTAATGGTTTTGTTTCACTAGGAAGCCCTAACTACTCTCAAAATTTGCAAAGAAGACCAGGAGCATGCATTTGAGATGCTTGCTGCAGTGTTGTGGCTGGGAAACATATCCTTTCTTGTAATTGACACAGAAAACCATATTGAGGTTGTTGCTGATGAAGGTTTGCCTCATTTTTCCTTTGGTGGTGCTTCCCAGCTCTCGTGTTTCTTCTATTTTATTACTATTGAAAAAATAAAAACTTACATTGTTTAGAAAAGATGTTATATGTCAGTTGTCCTGTTGCTAATGATGTTTAAGGAACATCTTAAGCTAGCTGGAAGCTTCTAATTCAACCACCATATTCGATGAAATGCCAAATGGAGCCATAACATTATTGCATAAAATCATACCTAGCGGTCCAGTAACCAGATTGTTGTTTTCCTTTACTTAAAAGAAACACCCGAGCATGCTCCATTTCAATCATATGTTATTTGATGACCTTATGCACATGATTGGTGCCACAGATATTTTAGGCTGGTTGTTTTTGTGAAATTCGTCAGTAGTAAGGTGAACAATATTCAAACTGGAATGAATTTTGTCACTGGATAAAGTTTTGATTCGTGCTCTTCGATTCTCAAGAGGCAGCTTCTCCACTGAAAACCAGTTCTGTTTTTTTTTCTTTGAATGCTGTAAGCATTAAATGGGGTAAATTTTTATGTTTATGTCTTGACTTTAATTTTGTTATATTTTTCTTAATCTGTTCTTATATTTTCAATGTACCTCGGGGAGGAATCTTTAGTGGCTTCTTTTTCTCAACTCCTTTTTGAGTGTTTCTCAATGACTGATAATATAATTCTTTTCTTTTGGTTGTTTAGTTAAGCTCTTTGTATAGATACTTAACATTCGTGCCCCTCCATGCCCCTTGATAAATTGTCTTCACGTGTTCAACACTAATGTTTGATTCATTTATAATTCATTACACGTGGAGCACTTGTGCAGTATATTCAGTTTTTTAAGCTTGTTTTCATACATTTTATATAATTGCTTATATTTAGGTGCTTTGACTTAACTATGTTGGATGTTCCCTCTTATCTATAGCTGTTAGCAACACTGCTAGCTTACTAGGCTGCAGTACAGAGGACCTAATGCTGACTTTATCTACTAGTAGAATACAAGCTGGCAAGGATAAGGTTGCCAAAGGGCTAACTCTACAACAGGTGCATAAAATGCTTTTCATGTACTCTCATTAGACATAATAACATGACAGCTGCCCATTCTTGGAACAAGTCCTTTATTACCTGTGTGCATTACAAACGTGCTTATTTACAAGTCACTTAGGCCATGTACAGTTTAATATAGTAAATCTTTTGTTTCCAATTCAGGCAATTGACACAAGAGACGCATTGGCAAAATTTATCTACGCGAGCTTGTTTGACTGGCTTGTCGAAGAAATCAATAGATCACCTGCGATGGGCAAACATCAAACTGGGAGGTCCATAAGTATTCTAGATATTTATGGGTTTGAGTCATTCCAGGTAATTTGGTAGATCTCCTTAGTCCTTACTGCTATCCATAGAGCTTTGCAACTGTATCTCACTCTCATTCGTTTTTCTGCGCTCCAGAAAAATAGTTTTGAACAGTTTTGTATAAATTATGCAAATGAGAGACTTCAGCAACATTTTAATCGTCATCTCTTCAAACTTGAACAAGAGGTAAGCATCTGATATTGTTTTTAATGATTTCAAAAAATCTGTATGATGCATGCAGTCTCCGATTCTTCTGAAAAACACAAAAGGTCCTGTATGATATTACAACCGTTTAGCATAGCACCTTGCTATCTTTATGACTCATATAGATTGTAGAATTCCCAGCAATGATTTCTGCTTAGGCAGTTGATTTTTATGCAGACTGCAGATGTTTACAAATTAACCTGCCTGGCATCCTATTTTTGTTTCCTGTGAACTTTCCCTATTTTATGGATTATAAGTTTCTTTATTGGGAGTTTAAGAACAATGCAACTAAAATCTGACAGTTGACACACATTTGTCAAATTTCAATGGCTGTACTAACAATGACACCCATGTTTTTTTGATTCCAGGAGTATGAATTAGATGGAATTGATTGGACCAAAGTAGATTTTGAAGACAATCAAGATTGCTTGGATCTTTTCGAGAAGGTAATTTCTTTAATCCATCAGGAGTCTAGATGATTGGTTCTGGAGTCGTTTGTTCTGTTACTTCATTATTTGACACTGAATTTAAATCTAGTGTCTGCTCCGAGGCATGGCTAAGTCATTCGTTCTTATGATTAGAAGTGTGAACCTTTTATGTACATTTCGATCTGTCTGCCTACACGGTCATATTCTGTAGATGGGTGCTTATTTGCTTGTGGAGTCGTATCGATGCTGTTACTGTGGCTCTTCATCCTTTTCTGTCCGTCGATTTATGTTCATCGCAATTTTTTTACAGAGACCTATTGGGCTAATATCTTTGTTGGATGAAGAATCAAATTTCCCCAAGGCCAGCGATTTGACCTTTGCCACTAAGCTGAAGCAACACTTGAATGCCAGTGCTTGCTTTAAAGGAGAAAGAGATGGAGCATTTAGTGTCCACCATTATGCCAGAGAGGTATGTCTGTCTCTTCTTGGAACATCTCATAACTTCTCTTAGAAAAAAATTAAACAGAAATGGGGATCTGTTAAGATTTGACTGGTCTACTGTGACAACTATTCATATTGTGGCTAAGGAATATTTGTATCAATCATGTTGATAACTCATGGTAGACTGTAATTTGTACATAATTACCAAGTCTCATATGAATTATCAACCATCAAATTGGGCCGTAGTAGATGGTAGACTGTAATTTGTACGTACTTACCAAATCTCATATGAAGTAACAACTATCAAATTGGGCCATGGTAGAAATTGTTCTTAACCTGTATTTGCACAGGGTTAGATATATGTGAATGTATTGCAAAAGGCCATTGCATAAAGTTAATTAAATGATTCTTGTTAGTTTGATTGGAGAAATGTTTTTAACTTGCATTCCCTTTCCCCGTTTGAAGAATAAAATCCATTTCTAAGAATAGCATCTGTTTTCTTGCTGAGTAACTCTTGTTAGTTAGTTCAGTGGATTCTAGTCCTCAAAAAATTGAGCTTTTATTTGAATTTATCTTAACTATGAACTATTGCAATTACAAGCAAATGCTGCCCGTTTGGCAGAGTAGCAGAATTATCTTGTTTGACATAATTTCATGAATAGATCTCAATATATTTCATTCAGTTGCTTTGATTCTTGGGCGAATGTATAAAGTTTTGTGTGTCTAGGGTCTGTGCGATCTTAATTGAAAGTTATTAAGACATGTTTTAGCATAATGGTAATTATTTTTTTTAACGTTCTTAATTAGTTTTCCTAAGTGCTTAAAATATCATGAACAAAGGGATTATATTAGTGGAATTTTGTCTGTTATTATGTGATTAGGAGTTTCATCATATCTCATGCCTTTTGACGGAAATATTGGATGTATCACTCCTGAAGTTATTAATAATGGCATCTCTGATGTAATAAATTTTGTCTTTAGATGACTTTGCCTTCATATTTTATTAGAGTAGACAAGGACAGATGTACAACTGCCATTATCCTGAAAATGATATTTGCATGCGTTGGCCACACTCATCCTGGGGTTGGATCAAAAGCAGTGAGAGATTAAAAATTCAATAGCACTTCTGCTTACAAAACTTTTGGACTTGTTTTTAAACTAATGCCTCATGCTTCCAGATAAATATTAAATACTTGATTTGGGGACCTAATATACCCTATCAAACTTTCTTCTATAGAGCGTAGTTGGTATAAAAGCGATATTGAGCAAACATGGTTTTTTAAAATGCTGTTTTGTAACATTTCTGAGTAACCCTTGCGTGTTTTCCTTAGGTTCTTTATGAAACTGGTGGATTCTTGGAAAAGAACAGAGATCCGTTGCACTCTGATACCATTCAATTACTCTCTTCATGCACTGGTCGACTACCTCGTTTGTTTGCTTCTACATGGCTTAACCAATCTCAGAAAGATGCAAGTTCATCAATCCTGCTGGGGATGTCGGCTCCTCAGAAGCAGAGTGTTGCCACAAAATTTAAGGTGAAAAATTTAACAACTGTGCATATTCCCATCATATCGTTCTTCTCACCCCACAATGAAAGAAAAGGAGGAAACCAGACCTGATAACAATAGAAGAAACAAAAGCATAATTATTAGAATTTGCGGCAGATTAGGGATTTCTGTAGCCTTCGAACCAATTTTCAGGATACACTGACCTTCAAAAGACTATATCTGTATTTCCTTTAGCATAACCTTGTATGACTTTTTTGCTTCCAGAGTCAGCTGTTCAGATTGATGCAGCAGCTTGAAAACACGACTCCACACTTCATTCGATGCATAAAACCAAATAGTAAGCAGCTTCCTGGCACTTTCGAGAAAGGTCTTGTGTTAGAGCAGCTTAGGTGCTGTGGGATTCTAGAAGTTGTGAGGATTTCAAGATATGGTTACCCTACGCGGATGACACATCAAGAATTCACAAGAAGGTGAAGTACTGGTTTTTTTATCATTTGCACTGACTTATTGTAATTACTTTGAAGCTCTTGAAATATGATTTAGTAATTTTCAGGTATGGGTTCCTACTTCCTGAGAATAATGCATGTCAAGATCCTTTAAGTTCATCAGTTGCCATTCTCCAGCAGTTTGATATCCTTCCTGAAATGTACCAAGTTGGTTATACAAAATTATACTTCCGAGCAGGACAGGTGAGTTTATATTCTCATTTGAAGGCCTTTCAAGTTTTCAGATTTCTTCTTCTTCTTTTTTTATTCTGAAGTAATTCATGGTCTTCTTGAATAGCCATAGCCGACCGGGACTTGGAAAATATGCCTTTTATTGGAGTCCAGAAGTCTAATATCATTTTCTGGTTCAGTTAGAAGTAAATGTAAAATGTTACAAGTCATAAAAACAGATACATTTTTTCCACATGATTCAGATTGGTGCAGAAGCAAAATTGGAATTCTTGAAACAAGAATAAAGTAAAAAGCTAGAAAATACGTAGGGAATAATTTTATTATATTGAATTGAATATTGAAAAAGTGTACAAAGCCTTTGTGTATATAGACAAGATTATTCCTTAATCCTAATCTAAAAGAAATTAGAAATCATATTCTAATCAATAAAGAAAAAAATCCTACTTTAAACAAGAAATAAGAATAAAAAGATAAAACATATTGCAACTAGACATTTTATTATAAATATCTAACTTTTATCGTATTTACAAAAGTATTGTCCTACAACACATATAATTTGCCACCTTCTAGAATTATTGTCATTTCAAATTAGATTCGCATGAAGTTCAGATCTTATCCACCTCTAGTGATTCATTTATGCTTCCACTAGAAAAATTCTTGTAGATTGCTTATCTGAAGGTAAAAATCCTGTAGAATTAGATGTTTAATATTCTGTTTTGATGAATTATAGATTGGTGCACTGGAAGATGTTAGGAAACAAGTTCTGCAAGGAACTCTTGAGGTACAGAAGTGCTTTCGCGGTCATCGGGCTCGTCGATATTTCCATGAGCTCAAGGGAGGAGTACTAGTGTTGCAGTCATGTAAGGCAGACTGCTATTACATTGTTTATAGTCTCTAAATTAATTATTTACCCTTTAGGAGATAATTTTAAAAGATAAATATTTTTTGGTCTGATTTTTATAAAGCCTTGCTACATCAGCAAATATCATCGTTTTGGGGCAGATTGGCACGCTCTTTCCATAATATCATATATCCTTTCCTTCGACAAAACTTTCACTGAAGATTTCCCAGTATTAGTCGTCTTTAGTTGTTTCCAGAACTGACACTCTGTCTCCTGGCATTGCTTCCTCAAATTATGCAATAACAATTTGCTTTTATTCTTATCATGACATTTATAACTCTTGCAGTTGTTCGTGGTAATATTGCTAGGAGAGAATATGATGCTTTGCGTAGGTTGAATGAGCAGGTTGCTCTGAAAAAGATAGAAGAGCACGTTGTTCAAATACAATCAGGTAAGTTTTGCGTTCATTCTATTATGCCTTTAACTAATTGAGTTATTAACAGCTAACACATTCCAGTACTAATGCATTATCTTCTGCAGTAATTCGTGGATGGTTGGCTCGAAGGCATTTTAGTCAGCTTCAAAATTCGAAAAATATAAATCTTTGCAAATGGAAACGAGGCAGGAAGAGTTCAGAAGTTAAGGTATTGAGAAACAACCTTATCTAAAAGTATAAACAGTTAGAGAAATGATGAATTTATTTATTTAAATTCAGTCCTGAACAAAATGGTGCAATTCTACTTTCAATATGAGTGTGATATCTGACTTAATTGTCAAAGCAACAATGTCAGGTACAACAGTATAATTCGAACTTAAATGATGTAAAAAGCATGTTGGTAGTATGGTCATGTTGTCTAATACTTCTGCTTATATGGAATTTGAAAAGGGGTTGCATGTATGTTTTAGCACACAAATGAAAATTGGTTATGGAGGTAAATAATTGCCTCCTCTCTCCCTGAAGAAAAAGAATAATAAATAAGTAAATAAGCCTATGTTTGGTAGAAATAAAAATTCAGATTTAAATCAAAGTCAAATAATCAAAGTCAATAACTAATTTTAACCACACATTTCATGGGACCCACAACTTTTCAACCACACAATTCATCAACTTTTATCAAAATCTACTAAAAATCTGATTTTAATCTCCACCAAACAAGGGTTAAAACTCACCTCCTTAAACTATAAAAATCAAGTAGAAATAGAATGTGAAGTAAGTTCTACTCTTATTTGCTGAGCAGGATCTGCCACAAGAAATGTTACCTGCAGTAGTTGAAGAACTTCAAAGGCGGGTATTGATTGGAGAAGCAACCCTTGAGCAAAAGGAAAAGGAAAATGCATCTCTGAAAGATCAAGTACACCAATTTGAGGCACGATGGTCAGAATATGAAGCCAAGATGAAATCAATGGAGGATGTTTGGCAAAAGCAGATGGCATCTTTGCAAGTGAGTCTTTTATGATCCTATCCACTGATGTTCCGACAAATAGGAGACAGTCTTAGTAATTATATTTTCATTTATTTAAGTGCGAATTATGTTAAAATTCTAACATTCAGTGCAGTTATTCTTTATGTATTATTATCATAAATTTTGGAATCATGCTTCATGCATTCGAGTGACAAATGAACTAAATTTCCTCACATATTGACCAAATGGTGAAGTCACAAACAGAATTTCGCGAAATCTGTTGGTGTTGTTTCTCCTTCAGTGCTATTCTACGTGGCGTTGAAATTAAACATTTAAAGCTATTGGACAGGTCGTAGATATACAAGCAAATTTGCAGTCTATTTCTGGGGTTGTTATGGTGATATTATATTAAGGAGGCAGTTGTCAACTGTCAATGTATAGGATGGTGAGAGGCCATGAGTGTCTATACTAATACTACCTTGGCATGCTTATAATAATGGAGTCTGATTTTCTCTTTGTTTCACAATTGTTTAAACTAGAATGGCACAGTATAGGCATAAGAAAAACCGGTTTTCTTATCCCGTTGTATGTTGTCAGTACTTTTATGTACAAAAGGTTTCTAAAGAAATAAAGGAGTTGTTCTGGACCTCCCTAATTAAACCTGTTATATGTCGCAGATAAATTTAGCTGCAGCCAAAAAGAGTCTTGGCGCTGAGAACACTATGGGTCAACTGGGAAGAGATGGCTTTCCATCACCTCGCTATTATGATTCTGAGGATATGTCTATGGGAACACAAACTCCTGGAGGTAGCACTCCCATGAAATTTGCCCTCAATGGTTTAGATCTTGGGGCCAGACAGGAGACTAATGGTGGTTTAAATGCAGTCAATCCCCTCTTGAAGGAGTTTGAGCAAAGAAAACAAAATTTTGACGATGAGGCCAGAGCAATTGTTGAGTCCAAGTCAGGGCAATCACCTTCCCTGAATACCAGTGAAGAATTAAGGAAACTAAAACAGAGATTTGAAGAGTGGAAAAAAGACTACAAAGTTCGGTTAAAGGAAGCAAAGGCAAAAGTACACAGGCTAGGGAACTCTGAAGCTGAGAAACATCGAAGATCATGGTGGGGAAAGAAGAGCAAAAAGTACTAGCAGTGAATTATTTCCTGTTGGGTTTCAGCCAAACTGCTGATTATTTTTGAGATTTCCTCTGTGAAAGCACTTCGAGTTGTTTCAGGATTGTCCTTACAGTAGAATCTGTAAGGTGGAGACTAGGAGAGTGGTTGTGTGTGTATATTAACCCCTTCTGTTGCCTGGAAGGGTCAGTATGTTGCTCATAAGAGAACGCGATTTCTGTTGATTTACTTCCATCTTTCATCCCACCCTTAGATTAGTTAGATTAGTTTTAGCCTACGCCTGTATAGTGAATTGTTGAGGATTTAGTCTCAGAACTCTCGTCTGTACTAGTTAGTGCTGAAGAACAGGTAAGGAGGTGTTCATATTCTCTTCAATATGAAATAGCAAGCAGCCTTCAATTTTTCTGTTTATCAGTCTTCTTTATAACAGTTAATCCGCTTTGTAGCTCATGCTGATGACTACATGATTTGATTAAACTCAACAACACAGCAAAATGTTCAAGAATTACCCATCAGATGATCTTCTTGCTTCTCAGTTTTCTTTTGCCTGTTAAATCAAATTGGTTGTTAAATCAATAGTTGTATTATAACTACACAATTTATGCATTACATTGAGCAAATAAATCTGGATTTATGATCCTGGCGCATAGACCCATGCATTGTTAGCAACAGGGTTGTCGAGGTGGTCCAACAGGTTCTCGAGAGGTCGTTGTCTGGTGACAATAGCTTGAACGAAGAATCCGAACATGGAAAACATTGCCAATCTTCCGTTCTTGATTTCCTTCACTTTGAGCTCAGCAAAGGTGACAGGGTCATCAGCAATGCCTAGAGGATCAAAGTATTGGCCACCGGGGTAAAGGTTGTTGCCCTCTCCAACTCCGGGAAAACCATTGATTTTGAATCCTTCAACAAGTCCCATTAGAAGAACTTGGAAGCCAAGCACTACAAGAATGCTTTGAGAAGATTAGGGTTGCCCAAATAGTCTAATCCTCCTTCAGAGAAGATTTGAGCTCCAGCCTTGAACCAAACTGGCTCTTTGAAGTCCACTTTAACCCATTTTTCAAGAACTTCAGGGGTGATGCATCCTAGTGCTCCAATCATTGGCCATCGCCCGTGGATGACTTGGTAAGTAAATTTTTTTCAACTACTATATTCGCCAAAATATTGCCATTACTCTAGTTGAGAAATTATATACCTCAAGTGCCTAGCAAAGGCCACGGGATCAGCCGATAAACCAGCAGTGTCCCATCCGTAGTCATCCGGGAATTCTCCGGTCAGGTATGACAGAGTTTGAGCCGAGAAGGGTCCTAAAAATTTGACACGGTCCGGTCCATACCATACCATAAATCATTACCCTGTCAAATACAAAAAAGTCACCTCTCATCACTCTCTAAACATTTCTTTCTTTTTCTAATGGGGTTTGAGGAAGAACATACCACGGTATATTTGCACTTCCCATGGATACAACATCCTTAAGAGGATAATGCATTCTTGGTTTGGCCCAAAATTGGAGTTGCCTTAAGAACAGTGGTGGAACTGGCAATGGTAGCCATCGATGCAGTTGAGCTGTTGTTGGAATACAGAATAGACTGGTGAGGGATTCTGACTTTATGTGTTAACGATAGTGAGACTCATTGATAGTCGGTTATGATTGCATATATGGAAATGGTGGCCGTTGATAATCACATGTACATCATCATTCATCAACCAATCACAAAACAGCAAAAAATTACAAGCGTCTCCAACTTATCCAAATATGCACAATTATATCTTCTTCTACGAGTAAGTTATTACAGGCCAAAATTTTAAAGTTCCGTCCAAGCCGAACAGTTTATAGGCTGGCTGCATTTTGTTTTTCTTCCTTAATACTTACTGTCCAATAGCATTCAATCCAATTACCAAACATGCCAATATTGACCACATGTTTAAGTAAAAAAAAAAAAGAGCATAAATTTCTATATATATAAATAAATGACCAAACAAAATTAACCAAATTAAAAGTGGGGTATTGGATTATAAGTACGTTCTTGAATTGAATTCTCTTAAGGTAAATAGGGCATTGTAAATAAAAATCAAAGATAGTCTGTACAGAAAAAGGAAATGAAATGAAATCAGTGTAGTAAAATGGTAAAAAGACAAAATGCGGTGAACGTGGATCGAACACGTGACCTTCAGATCTTCAGTCTGACGCTCTCCCAACTGAGCTATCCCCGCTTTCTGTTGTTGGTTTGCATATTGAACATAATGTAATAATATTATTTGCCAATACTAGGACACAAGATTTTTGTTTCTTTTTGATTTTTTAGTGTTGTCCAGTATTATTTCTACAGTTTTGAATGACATTTGAAGATGTGATGCAAATTATATTATTTAGTTCTTTTTCATGCTAATTACGAAATCATTTACATTATTTATTATTTCCATCACTATTTTGCATCTCATTTCCGTAGCGTTTAAGGAATGTTGACAGCACACCGGCATGGCTTTTTCTTTTTCTATTTAATTAATATTGTTTCTCTATGGTTAGGTCCTTGTTTTATTCCAATTATTTTCAAAATACATTTTTCTATCTCTTCTTTTCGATCACATTTTTTAATAAAATAATATTACACATAAACTCAATTTTTTTTTCTTATTTTTCAATCACACATTCTCCATTAATTTACTATTTCAATTATGAAAAATGGGCTCAATCAGGCACCAGGTTTAAGAATAAAAAATAATAATTGACAAAACGGTAGACAGTATTTATCAATTTTACGAGATAAAAAATAATTTAATCAAAAATATTTATCAACTCACAGAATTAGATACGACGGGGGAAACATACAAACATGCTAGATGTACAATCATTAGCACATTGTAAGTTTTTACAATGTGACACATTAGGGCGGGGCCCGCTGATTAATTAATCAGTGGACCCCATCGTAATGTGTCACATTATAAAATTTACAATGTGTTAATCATTGTACAAGAAAATTTATTGGGGAACATGTGTTAAGATTCCTTTACTTGTCCCATTTTCAATAGGACACGGATTTGGATGGTTGAACAAACATGTGTCCAACACCTTCTTGGTAACATGTTACCCACATGTACCTACCTCCCTCTCCTTTTTTTAATTTTTCATTCACACATTTTACTAACTTTTATCAAAATTTGCTGAAAATTACATTTTTATCCAAATCAAGCGGGGTAGTTAAATAGTCAACGACCATATTTACATCAGAGTACCGAAGACTCGTTTGGCAAAATTTTTGAAATATCAAAAGCTATTTTGTGATGCGTTCGATTGTGAATTTCCTTATACCTTACTTTGTAAGAATATATATGAAAATAACTATGTATAAGAACATATATCATGGGATCCATTCGCCACCTTTTTCTCTCTACCACCTGTCTCCTCTCTCAATCTTTCTACCCTGTTTTCTCGTTTATATATATTTTTCATACCATACACATTTTTTTCTCATTTCTCTCCTCTCTCCAAAAGAAAGAAAAACCAACTTATTCTCTCCCATCGTCAACAGTAACGTCGAACATCACCTGACTGGTCGAGACGACACGTCGACTATGGCGCGCCGTCTCTTCACCTGTTTTGGCAAAGGCTCCTCTCATCATAAGCGCGAAAGTTTGTACGAAAACACCACCTCGGATGTGGCGGTGGAGGAGCAGCGGAGAGGCGGACCGGTGGTGGTGGAGCTCTTTTCATCACAGGGCTGCGCCACCTCTCCGGAGGCGGAGCTGCTCTTCTCACGGCTAGGGAGGGGTGATTTCAACCTTGAGGTGCCGGTGATATTGTTGGCGTACCATGTTGACTATTGGGATTATATGGGCTGGAAGGACCCTTTTGGGTCGAGCCAATGGACTGTAAGGCAAAAGGCCTATGTTGAGGCCCTGAACCTTGATACAATGTTCACACCCCAAATTGTGGTCCAGGGTCGGGCCCAATGTGTTGGTAATGATCAGGGTGCTTTGTTATCCTGCATTGCTTCTGCAACGCGAGTTCCTGCTGCCGCGTTCCAGGTTAGCAAATTTTATTACATAAATTATTGAAACTTGTAGATTAAAATTAGATTTTTAATAGATTTCGATAAAAATTGATGAAATTTGGGGGTTAAAAATCATATTTTCAGGAAATTATCTTGTTTTTTGCTTAGTCTTTGGTTATGGCTAAAATGGTCGATAAAAATTTAAGTGAAAAGTTAACAACTAATTTTAGTCGGATTCAATCACACATTTCATCAATTTTTATAAAATTTAGATTTTTTGCTTAGTCTTGTTTAATTATTGACCACTTAATATTCCTACTGCCAGGCGACATTTCAAAGGCCTACGCCCGAGTCCTTGCAAGTGTCTCTAAAAGGAGCTATAAGGGTTAACGGGGATCAACAAGGTGCCAGTGTCATGGTTGCGCTATACCAAAGCGGTTTAGTGACAAATTGTCCGAAGGGAGTGAACAAAGACCGCGTCTTAGCCAATGACTTTGTTGTAAGGGGGCTCCAAAAACTCTGCGTAGTTAAAGATATCACCACCAAGAAACCCATTTCTGTTAATTTCTCTTTGTGGGAAGGTTTCAATAGCAGCAAATGTGGCGTCGCTGTTTTTGTAGAAACGAGTTCTCATCAAATATTGGGTTCGCAGAATTTTCAGTTATCAGATAATGTATGAAGTTTTAATTGAATAGAATTTCGACGAAGCTTCTTAACTGTCACTTATAGGATGCGTTGAAGAGTAGGTGAGATTATTTTTCAATTTTTGTTTATTGTTTGGTTGTGTATTTGATTTGAAGTTCATGAGATGAGGAGAGCAGGATGAAAAGTTTGTATTGAATTTTGGGATTTTTAAACTTCATTGCACATTCTATTCTCCTGATAGTCAAATTCCTTACTGAAAGATTGCACATTTCTGCTACGAAACATGGCCTTTATATTTATGTTCTTTTAATCGGTCAGTGTGAAAGTAGTAATTATGATCCAGTCTCAATATTTAACCAACATATTTGATCAAAATTGAATAAGATGTATAAACTGCATAAGAAAAACATTGGGAACTAGTAAAAGCATCGTAAAATTGCGTAAATATTTAGTTCTCTATATATACAAAGAAATATGGGTTTGGGGATTCAGTTCAATTAGGTCCCCAACAGCTCAAATACATAACTGTTCTCAATGATTCCTCAGATTTCTTCAACTTCTGATCTTCCTTCATCTTTTTACATATAATTGTTGAAGAGGGTACTCCAGAAAGTTTGTTAGCCTGAGTGTATGATCTGAGGTTGTTCTTGGCATGTTGTTGCAGTCTCCTCATTGCATAATTCCATCTACAGAATCCCTGATCTTTCAGAGCCTCAACAGCCCCAATGCTTGCTCCCACTAACCAAGCCCTGCTTGTGGAACTCATTTTCAGCAAGAAAGCATGCCAAATTAACTAAGACTGTTTGTGGTATATGGATATGAATGGTGATGAAGAATAATGGGGAGAATATGAGTGTTTATATAAATGTATATGCAAGAAACTGGGGGAGGTTTTACCAGCAGAAAAGGAAATGCCCCCAGTTTTAGGTGGTAGTATTAGATGCACCGTGGATTGTGCCAATGGATTTAGACCAGTTGGGGGATAAAGCTGTAGATATGTCCAAACTCACTTTTGTATTTATATACCACTTGTACATACTATATTGAAAATTATTTAGAATAGAATATAAAATCACTTTTGTATTTGTATACCACTTGTACAGATTTATATTAAGATCATTTTTCATTTTCCACGTTATTGCATGTTTGATTGGTCTAAAATTCCATGGAATTGGTTTTCTTCCACCCAAAGCCCCACGTGTCTCCTTTTTCTTGACAATTTTCATGTAAAATAAAGCCAAACGAACAACAAAAGATCTAAAATTTTTTTCCACGTGAAAAATTATACTAATCAAGCACAATTAATTGACAATTCCCAAGAAAATAATTCTAGGCAATTCAATTCCCTAGAATTCATTTTCTTTCCACCCAAATTCCACTCTTGCAATCAAACAGCTTGAAAAAAATATAAAAACAAGAGAGTAAAATAGATGATGGGTGCTACAGTACAGATGATATACTTGCAAGTAGCACCAGTCAATGCACTAACTCCAATTTCCAGAAAATAGGTGTGTATAACAATAAATGAATAAAGAGAGAAGAAAGGAAGTTGAGATTTTAGTTGGGCGAGCCGTAATTACGAATATTGACCGCTCAACTAAGATGTGCAATATCAATTTCATCCGGTATTCGGAAAGTAGCGGCTGCACCTAACTTCTTCCGCTCTTCTGAGTTCTCTTCAAATTCTTCATCAGTACTGTCGTATTGTGAATCTTCGTATGTGTATGGTGAAGAAGGTGAATTGATACTTCTGCATTGGCAATGCGGGGTTGCTAGCACGCTCACTTGGCCGAAGTGGGAAATTTCGACTGCAACGGTTTCATCATCCAACGGGAGAGGTTTGCGATATATGGTCAAGGAGTATGCTGGATTTGGTAAAGTAAATATCCCGAGGACTAACATCCCGACGACTCCCAAACTAGTTATTAGGGCAATCTGAGGAACGTCGTCCTCGATACTCTCGAGGACGCTACGTGCCCGAGCACTATGTGATCAAAAGGGAGAGTCGTTACGAGTTACGGTCCTCGTGCTCGAGGATGGGGAAATGCCACCATCACAAACGAACAACAAAAGATCTAAAATTTTAATATATTTCACGTGAAAAATTATACTAATCAAGCACAATTAATTGACAATTCCCAGGAAAATAATTCTAGGCAATTCAATTTCCTAGAATTCATTTTCTTTCCACCCAAATTTCACTCTTCCAATCATACAGCTTGAAAAAAAATATAAAAACAAGAGAGTAAAATAGATGATGGGTGCTACAGTACAGAAGAAATACTTGCAAGTAGCACCAGTCAATGCACTAACTCCAATTTCCAGAAGATAGGTGTGTATAACAATAAATGAATAAAGAGAGAAGAAAGGATGTGAAAGGCTGCTGGTAGCTGTGAAGTTGAGATTTTAGTTGGGCGAACCGTAATTACGAATATTGACCGCTCAACTAAGATGTGCAATATCAATTTCATCCGGTATTCGGAAAGTAGCGGCTGCACCTAACTTCTTCCGCTCTTCTGAGTTCTCTTCAAATTCTTCATCATTACTGTCGTATTGTGAATCTTCGTATGTGTATGGTGAAGAAGGTGAATTGATACTTCTGCATTGGCAATGCGGGGTTGCTAGCACGCTCACCTGGCCGAAGTGGGAAATTTCGACTGCAACAGTTTCATCATCCAACGGGAGAGGTTGTTTCCATGGTTCACCATCAATCCTCATGAATGTATGGTCAGCAGCACCCTTGTGAAACTCGAAACGAATTTTTTTTGCCTAAAGAAAGAAATTATATGTAAATAAATAATGTAAAGAAACAAGAGCAAAAGGGACAAGTAATCAAGAGAGTATCATAGGCTAGCCCCTCAAAGAATAATGAATAAATAATTGAATATTTAAACCTATGACAACAGGCACGTAGAAAAAAAATAAAAAAATTCCATGTTTCCTCGTCAAGTTTGACATAGCCCATAATATAATTTTAAGGTACCGAGCCATTATCTCCAACAGCAACTTGAGAAATAGAGCTATTGGGATCATTACATCTACCCATGGGATCCAAGATAAAATCCAAGCATGGTATTGAACCTATTGGTACTGCCATGTGTTCAACGTTTGCCCAGTAGGTCACATTTAAGTGTGTGGATTGTTACACAGGAAGATTTGATCGTCCTAACTCCTAATCCAAATTTATATTTACCTGAGCGAGGCGAGTTCCATGCCCATTTGGAGCAAATAAGATAAGCCCATGCCATGCATCACGGAAACCGACAACCTCAAGAAAACCATCATCGACATATGCAGGAGTAAAGTCCCTCTGTTGGAAAAAAAAGTAACGTAACAATCGGTTCAAAAAATCATTTTAATAAATATACAGGTGCTCACTATGCCAGTTAATAAAATCAACACTAACCGAGTGAAGTTTCTTCCTGTTAGGTCTTCCCCAAGGATTAAGACCCCCAGAAAAACTAGGCAAGTTTAGGCAGACAATGGACCTGATGCTGCACACAAATAACGTATTATGGTAAAGAGAACCACCTTAAGAGGCATTGTCCCAAAGAAGTGAGGTAGAACCATAAATGCTTACCCATGAGGTACATGAAGGTCTATCCATTGACCTGGCTTTTTCATGATTTTTACCTTTGCCAGGTGAGAAATGTTTCTGCAAAACACCAGCCACCCATTAGATTTAAGATACAAATGAAATGAGGCATAAACAATAAGCTGGACACTTCTAACTTTTGATTGAAAAAATGATCCATCTTATTTCCAAGGATCAGATTCTCGAGTAAATAAATCAGTAATGAGGTTTGGATAGATATCTATGAGAGCTTTTAGTCAGGGATTTCATAAATCCTGTGCACTTCATTATCTTTATTCTTTATCAATAAGATACTGGGATAAGTCATGAAGTCACAATAAGATATCATCATGCTAAAAACAATAAAACACTGACAACACATAACGACAAGGCAATATCATTTCCCATCAACAAGATGTAAACATTTAGCAATAAACGCCCGGGTGGGGGGAGTTTGATGTCGCAATGTAGAGCAGTTTCCAAATCCCAGTCACAGTTATTATAGATGCTCAAAGATGTAGACCCTCGTTTTTAAATCAGTATATTTGTTGTTCAAAGCATGAAAAGATGAATGACAACGGTTACATCTGAACATAGTAAAACTCTAAATACACACTAACCCTGAGGATGGATGCATGAGAGAAGGACAAAACCATCCTTGTGAACAACTCAACTTTGCGTAGGTACTCTATCAAAAGCAAGAAAATAAAATCAACAATATACTAAAAGAATGTTCAGGAACTAAAACATAACATGAAAACGTATTGAGCATCCCCAATACACGGAGAAGCATCATAAGATCAATAAATATATCTAGAGTTAACCCCAATGATATGATCAGTAAAAGAACCAAATTACTTGTTGAGGAAAAGTACATAATTTTAAATCAAAGACAAGCAGTGATCACAACAAGCATTATTACTATAATACTAGTCAACCCAACAAATATCTGCTGAAAAACTTCTAATGGAATAAAATAAAAAATGAGGATAGTTTTTCCATATTATGTAGGTTGACAATTAGATTTTCATTATGGCAGGTTTTATAGTTAGATAATTAAATTTTCATAACAAGGAACTTAAATTACTTTAAAACATGTAACATCCTCTGATGTTCTACTAGGACTGCTACAAAATTTTAAAAACATAGAACAACTATCTTTGGTATGGAAACTATTGGAACCTTAAAATGGTGATTAGTTTGATTTAGTCAGAGTAATTTTGGCTTTCTGTAAAGCTACCAGGCGTGGCACCAATGCTAGTGGACACTGCTAACGCATGAGCGGTTGTGTTCTTTTTTTTTTTTATTACATAATAGAAACTAGTATCATCATTCCTTTCATTTCTGCAAATAATTTCCAACTCGTATGTGCAGATAAGTTTCTCCAAATAACTAAAAACTACCCAAGTCGGAGCAAACCTAATAAAGAGAAATAATGTACTGGTTACAGTCATATTGAT